TGGGAGGGAAGGAGCCCGAGGAAGGGCCTGCACCCAGGAAGGCCGAGCCTTCCCAGCAGCCTTGGGCAACTCGTGATCCCACCGGGCGCCTCTGAGCCCCAGCCTCTTGGAGTCGAGCGTGTAATTAAATTAATCCCAGGGTTTGCAGTAATGAGGAGCCTCGAGGAAGGGAAGCGTCATTTCCCGGCTTGCAGGGAAGAAGAGGGGGGTGACTACAAAAGGGGCTCCAGGCTGGGCTGGGCTGGCCAAGGCATCTGCTCAGACCTTCCTTCCCCTCACCCATCCTGGGCTCACTGGACCAATTCTGGGGGGTTCACAATGCAGCTTCAACTGGGGGGGAATATGCAACATGCTCGCTTCCAGGAGCCATCAGCAGTCCTTGCCTCACCCCTCCTCGCAGACCCTCTGTGCAGCCAAGGCAGGCAGGAGTCCCCAGTCTGCAGGGTCTGGGCCCCCTCCCCACTGGCACTGTTCAGGTCCAGCCCAGGAGCCCTGTGCTGAGTCCTGGTGCTGACCATCAGGGACACACCCTGCCTCCTCGAGGGCGGTGAGGCAGGGGCTAGGCCCCATCTCCCCTCCTGGCCTGATTTCCTCCCTAGCTAGGCAGTCCCTCTCCAGCCTCACCTTCAGTCCAAACTAAGAATTTGGGGGCCAGAGGCCGCATCTGGTCACCCTTGTAGCCTCTTCACCTAGCTCACCTCTCGGCAGGTAAGCAGGTCCTCAGAAAAAGACCGAGGACCTAGCAGGAATTCATCCTGCTGAGTGGGTCGGGCCAGTTTCCCGAAGAGCTGGCTCTAAATCCTACTCACTCCCAGCAGCAGCTACAATGAGAGGAAGGAGCAGCAGCCTGGGACAGTGACAGTGACAGTGACCTCCCTCACCAGCTCTGCACACTGCTGTCTCAATGACCTCGCCAGGAGCTCACATCTTAGCTTGGGTGAGACCGGACTCAAGCGCAAGCAGGAGGGAACCCGGGGAGCCCAGGTGGGGGTGGAGAGATGACAGGGGGTGTCAATCCGCTGGGAGCTCGGGGGTCTCAGGGTTACTCGCCTGTCCAAGGCCTTGCTGGTGGGGGCTGCTCCCAATGGAAAGGGGTGGTGATGCCACAGCCCCCCCAACCTGGAGAACAGACAGGAAAAGCCCCCAGACAGAGCTGCAGGTGCTGGCAGGTGAAATGAGTGGTGGGCACGGAAGCAGTAAGTGCCTCTGAGACATGCGCAGGGTGCCACAGCTCGGGAGACAGTGGTTTTCCCTCTGCACAGGCGAAGTGGAGGCTGGGGGGGGGGAGCTGTCATAGTGACACATGCTGACACACAGTGACACACAGGTCCTGACTCTCCAGCTGCTGCCCCTCCAGGGTCCCCACCAGCCCTGCCTCCCTTCCAGCCCCTTCCCACCGAGCACAGTCCCCACAAGGTCCTCACAAGGTCACAGGCTTGGTGGCAGGTCGTTAGCAGCAGACCAGGCCACACCACGCCTTGGGCTCCTCTACGGGGCTCTGCCGAGATGGCTGCCATGTCCACGAGGACGCTTGGCTGGCTAATTCCCTTCTCCTTCCACTTCATTAGCAGGGGTCGGCGGCAGCGACCCAGCGATGGCTCCATGGGGCTGGCCACCCTCTTCACGCAGGGTCCCTGCCCTCCCTGCTCCACAGGGTGGAAAAAGCTCCGAGAGCTCCTGCTTCCTCGGCTTCTCTCCTTTCTCCCCCTTCCAGGACTCACCCTGAGGGGCAGGCAAGTGCCCCCACATGCCTGAGGGTCAGGAACTCGAAATCGAGCAGGGCAGAGACACCCCCGCTCTGCCTGCCTCCCGGTGGGGGAGCTGTCACCCTGAACACAGCAAGCTGCTCTTCCCGCAGGTGACCTCAGACCCTTCAGCCCCTACGGGGAGGCACCGCCATCCCGCCACGGGCATAGAAATGAGGAGGAGCGATGACCGAGTCCCACAGGCCGGGGCCAGCCTGGAGGACCAACCACAGGGCACTGTGACCAGCCCTGGGCACCAGGGACACTGTTATGGTCAGAATGTCTGTGCCCCCCCAAATCCATGTGTTGAAACCTAATGCCCACTGTGATGGTATTAGGAGGTGGGGTCTTGGGAGATATTTCAGGCATGAGGGTGAAGCCCTCAGGAGTGAGATTAGTGCTTTTATAAAAGACCCCAGAGAGCTCTCGTCCCTTCCACCAAGTGGGGACGCAGTGGGGAGACGCCAGCTCTGAACCAGGAATCGGACCTTCACCAGACACCGAACCTGCCAGCCTGCTGATCTCAGACTTTCAGTCTCTGGAACTTCGTAAGGAAACATCTGCTGTTTATAAGCAGCCAGAACAAACTAAGTGAGTGGGACCACGGATAACACGCACACTTAGCGAGCGCCAGCGGTGTGCCTTCCACACAGTTGTCATCTCCCTGAGAGGGGGCGACCGGCCCCGTTTACAGATGAAGAAACAGCGGCTCAGGGAGGACACGTGATGCTGTGGACCAGGCAGTGGTGCAGCGGCCCTCCTCCCCCCAGGCAGCCGTGCCCTCCCCCTAACTCAGTGCAGCCCTGGACAGAGACGGCAGGACAGGCCACACTTCCTGCAGAGCCCAGTCCTGCTGGGAAGCAGCTGGACCCTGGCCGGTGCTCAGTCCCCAAGTGGCCCCTGCCCAGAGGCCAGGTTAGCAGGTCTTGGAGCTGGACATTCCTGCTGTCCTCACCTGTGACATACAGGCACATCCAGGTGTCCCTGGCAAGGCCCGGGACACCGATTCACAGAGCCTGCCAATAATCCTGTCTCCTTAAAGGTCTTGGAGGATGTTCCAACCCAAGGCCCACCAACTCCGAGCACACCGGGGGGTCCTGAAGGTCACCACTGACTGAATTCCTACAGAGCAGAAGCCAGGTCTAGAAAGGAGCGTTATCAATTTCATGACAGTCCAGGCTACCAGTGGGGTCTGAGTTCCCCATCGCTAGGGGAAAGCAAGCAGAAGCTGAAAGGCTTCCGCTTGGGCATCCTCTACTGGAATGGAAGCCCCAGGAACACAGAAGGTTCCAGACGTAGCTGTGAGAAGGACACGTGAGGCTGCTCACCTACCTAAATGTAGATGCATTCACTCTAGTCCTCCCAGGGACCCTGCCAGGTAAGCAGAGAAAAAGATGCTCAGAGACTGAACAGGTCTGCCCAAGGCCACAAAGCCAGGCACCAGCAAGACGAGAGTTATTCATGCTCATCCAAGGACATGGTTCCCTTCTTCGAGGGTCCCTCAACCTAATGAAAGAGCTGTGGGAATAGCCATGTTTGCTGAAGGGCAGAGTGGAATAAAGAGGTACAGCCTAAGGGCGGGGAGGGGGTGCACAGAGCAAGGAGGTACCGATGGGGAGAAATCAGGGACTCCTTCCTGAAGGAAGCGGCATCTGAGGTGAGCACTGAAGGGCAAGCAGGGCTCTGATAGGCAGACAGGCAAGGTGGGGATGAACGGCAAGTCCAAGGGCAGAGGTGGGACGGTGACAGGCAGGGTCAGGAACACCTGAGACATTAGCATCTGCCTCCTGGCACACACTGCAGCTCTAGGAGGCGTGGGCTGAATGTGAGACAGGTATTATTTATGGATGAAGGCGAGAGGGCTGAGGGAGGCATATCAGGGAAGCATCAGGTTCCTGTGAGGACACCTCTCAGCGGCGGCCGCCCTGAGCCAGTCAGGCTGGGAGGTCCAGAAACGCAGGCCCCTGCCGCTCCCTCCCTGGGCCTGGCCTGCCCGCCCGGGCTGCCCACGGTGGTCTGCAGGGTGGTACTGGCCAAGGCAGCCGCTGCAAACTCGGCGCTGACTTCAGGGCCCTGGTCGTGGGAAAGAGTTCTCACATCCACACAGCACACTGAGAAGGGAACCTTCTTTCCCATTCACCCCCACAAACTTCACTGGGCACCTACCTATGCCAGCAGGCACCGGGCACAGCCCTGACCCTCCCATCACCGTATGCAAACCTCAACGGAGCTGAGGAGGTGAGCCCCACTGTTACTGTCCTGCTTATTGAAAAGGAACCTTAGTCTCAGAGAGGTTAAGTAGCAAAGCCAAAGTCACACACTGAAAACACTGCCCTGGTCACTGATGTCCAGCGGGCAGGCATCCGGCAGCGTCCACAATCCCACCTCCAGGTCCAGAGACTCAAGATCATGGAAACCTCAAACATCACTGAATAATGAAACGGAACAGCCTCTAGAGACTGGAGCCCCGCCCTCTCCATCCCGAGCCCACAGAGGAAGGAAAATGAATGGGCACAGAGGAAAACAAATAATTGCATTAATGAAAACCGGTATCTCTCCATGCTGGCCACTCAGCCTCCCCTAATCAGGCACAAGACTGTCCCCTGGCTGCCATCTGCCCCGTGTGCTGTACCACTCCAGGGACCCCCATGAAGCAGGGCCCTGCCCATCCTGGGCTGTGGGGGCGCCTGGTGTTTAATTCCAGGAAAAGCCACCAGGCTCCCCCCAGTCCACACTGAAATCTCGAGGGAGCAGCTGAACGGGAAGCCGGGTCCCACTTGGCTCATTTAGAAAGAGCCCGGGGTTGGATCTGTCTCGTAGCCTCCGGTGCTCTCAAACCGAAAACTCCAGCTCATTTCTGTCTACCCCTGGGAAGCCTGACAAGCCAAACTGAAAGTGTGTCATCGTTTCAAACCCGGGAGAAGAGGGGAAAAAACTCCTTTCCTGGGCCTCCAATTTCACACCCGGAAATTAACCTGCGTGTGCAGGTGACGGCACTGGTGGCGTCCCCTCCCCCACCAACCCCGATTTCACTCCGAATGGGAATTACTGATAGAGGCCGGGACACCCAGGCACACGGTGGCCAAGTCACCCCACCCAGCCTGTGGCTCTCGACACTGCAGCACCGGGCTCCCCCAGGGCCTTTTAACATCGGCTCTCTTTTCCCGAGACCAACTAAACTGTACTCTAGGGGAGGGTCCACACACATTTTAGACACCCTCCCAGGGATTCAGGGCTGCAAACCCCTGACCCATGCTGAGCAGTGGCTGTTCAAATCATCGGCTTCTGCCCGGCCGGTGTGGCTCAGTGGTTGAGTGTCGGCCTAGGCCCCAGGAGGTCACGGTTCCATTCCCGGTCAGGCACATGCCTGGGTTTCAGGCTCAGTCCCCAGCAGGGGGCACACAGGAGGCAACCAACCAATGTTGATGTTTCTCTCTCATTGATGTTTCATCTCTCTCTCCCTCTCCCTTCCTCTCTCTCTAAAAATCAATAAAAACATACTTTAAAAAAAAAAAATCATCCACTTCTGGGCTCCATCCCCGAGGGACCCCACACACGCCTGGCCCCGACTATCCCTTGGCGGGGTGACCTCCCGCAAACACAAGTGAACTACAGAGATAATCACAAGCCTACAACGGGCAGGACTGCGGTCTGGGGGTTGGGGATAAACATTTACTGAGCCCCAGAATGGATGTGCCAGGCCCCTCAGTAGGAAAAAAGGGGAGCCCTTTGCTGGTTTCAGGAGAAGGGGGGCTGGCTTTCATCATCAGAGGTGAACCCGGTCTGTACCGAGCGCTGACAGGCCCTCCACAAGGAGCTGGTGGGGCCAGGATGGGGCCGACTGTCCGCAGAGGGGGCGGGAACAGTGGGGAGGTTCAGGAGGAGGCAGGACACCAGGGGACATTCCAGCCCTGTGTGGACACAGGGGTGGGGCAGGTGGAGCAGGACAGGGATTGACTCAGGGCCCCTGGCACACAGCGTCCCTGCAATTAAGGCAGTGAGGACCCGCCCAATTAGAAATGACACAGACTCCGCGCTTCCCATTTCACATAAAACCTGCAGCGGGGTGCCTTGACCAAAGGATCATCAACGAAGCCGGCTTCATGGTGCCACCCTGCCCCCGGGTCCTGGGAAGGACGCCCTTTTCCAGTGGCGGGGGACCGGCTCCCTTCACGCCCGGGGCATGTTGCAAGAGGAGAAAACCAGCGTTGGCAACAAGAGCCACAGGAGCCCAATGCCCAGCCGCCCAGGCTTGTCAGGAAGAGGCCGAGTGGCTGGGGGGAAACCCGGGTCAAGGTCCCAGCCCCGGCAGCACCTTCCATGCAACCTTGAGCCTTAGTTTCCCCATATGACATCACAAGGGGGTTCTCAGCCTTCACTTATGAACTGTCCTCAGCAGGCCACTGTCCCCCAAAGATGCCCACACCTTAACCCCCCGCTATGGTCAAGGCCACAGAAAGCGGGATGAGAGACGGGCCTGCACCGGCCAGGTGGGTCCGATCTAGGCTCAGACTGTTTAAGAACGAAGAGCCTCTCTCAGCTGTGGTCAGTGGGGGACGTGACGGGGGAGAGGTCAGAGAAACGCCTGCGCTGGCCTGGAAGATGGGGAAGGAGCCACTCGCCAGGGAGCAGGTGCCTCTAGTAGCTGGAAAAGGCAGGAGGACCGACTCTCCCCTCGGGCCCCAGGAAGGGCTCAGCCCTGCTGACACCCTGAGTTTAGCTCTTCTGATCTCCAGGACTGTACGATAATAAATGTGTTGTTTTAGCTACCACGGTTGTGGTCATCAGTGACCGTGGCCAAAGGAAACTAACATAGAAACTAAGTGTTACGGCTGCGTGACTTCAAGTTGCTTGTCTAG